GCGTCATGTGGGATCTTCCCGGACTAGGGATCAAACCTGTGTCCCCTGCATTGGCAGGTGGATTCTCAACCACTGGGCCACCAGGGAAGCCCCCTTTCCTTGTCTCTTAAGGCATGTCCTGCACTACTTTGCACACCTTCAGTCAGACATTATGAGCCAAAACCTTTGGCTAGAACACAACATGAGTAGGAGAGAGAGAGAGGCCCCAGCAGAGTAAATACCCCAGTAATGGAACAGAGATGGTTCAGCAGGGCACTTGCTGGCTGAGAACCGGCCCAGCCAGGAAGTGGCCAGGACAGAAGCATGCTCAGTGCAGTCCCTCCTGCAGCCTGAGAGCGGAGTTTAGCAGCAGAACTTCCTCCTGAAACCCAGGTGGCTACAGCTGAAGCTGAGAAGAGCAATCAGCCCACTGCTATTTCTGAAGGCGCCCAGTGTGGTTACTCAGCGAGCTGTAATTAAGCTTATCTATAATTTGATAAGTGGGAGCAGCCTCACATTTTATAGAGTAATTAACTCTCACTGAGAGAGCAGCACAGGAGTTTCTGGGCCCCAGCATCCCTGGAGGTTGGTCCACATTCACACTCTCTCCCCTCTAACGCATGCCCATGGATGCTGAGGCCAGGATCGTCCTCAGCCACAGCCCTGGAAATACCTCCTGGCCCTGCTCTCTCCACCTCAGGCCCTCCAACAGAGACCAGGCCACTGGCAGATCCAGACACAATGGACACACCTGCAGTGAGATGCAGGAAAGTCTCAGCCTCCCTTTCCCCGTTGTTCTCTGTAAAACTGTGGGCTGGAAGAAAGTTGAGTTTAATGCTTCCCACCCATCACTCCTTCACAGGCTACATGGTCAGCCTCTGACTGACTGGTCCAGCCCAGCTCCAGGGCCCTGATGGAGAGACTGAAGCAGACTTGGGGTAAAGGAAGGGGCCCTAGGGATGGAGGCCAGGCCTGGATTTCTGTCTTGGCTCTCCCACTTCCCGGCTCTGTGATCTTGGGCAAATGACTCCACTTCCCTGAGGCTCAGTTTCCTTATCTGTCAAGTGGGAACAGTAGCCCTGCCTAACTCCTAAGCCATTTATGAGGATCAGATGAGAGATGATTTGGGAGCACACTTACTTGTGAGGGGGCACGTGTGTGTAAGAAATCGTCAGCATCTCTACAAGTGTATTATACTCTGTCTCAAAGTTCTTGTTGCTTGAGGGGACTTAGGTGACCATTCAGCCTGATGTGTGTCATCAATAATGAGAGATGGGATAATCACAGCTGAAACCTTCTGTTCAGACAGTGAGGAGTATGGAAACCTTGTCAAATGAGGGACCTTGGCTTCTGAACCTGACTTGCCCATTTCCAACCTAGTGTCTGTGCAGCTCTGGGTCACAGCCAAGTGTCAAAGGACTTAAGTCAGCGATGGTAGATTTCAGCTCAGTCTTTGGGTAAATTTTCCCTAACCAAGGAAATGCCATCTTAGGAAGTAAGGAGATCCTTGTCACTGGAGGGCTCCAAAGCCTGGCCAGCTTCCTGGAGGTTGGGAGTCATGCTTGATGATGGCTGAGTCCCTTTTCCTTCTCTAAGGTTCCAGGAGTCCTGGCAGCCCTCCAAGCCCTAATCCCAGGCCCTGGGCCCTGACCAGTATGTACTCACCCTATACCTCTGAAGCCACAAACCTCACAAACCACCTTCCTTGGTGCCTACACACACCAGGACGGGCTTAGATGCTCTGGGTTTGCTTGTTTTCTTGTTTGTTCTACATCGGAGCACTGGGTCCCCAGAGCCCTCCTTGTTCCACCTCCGTACCTGAGGATTCTCAAGTCTTGTGCTCCGACGACCCTCGAGCTCTCTGAGGACAGCTCCAGAATCTGTTTCTGTCCAAGGTTTAGGTGTTGGTGTTCTTAGAGCATGCCCTCAGAAATGCCCAGGATGGGGCGGTGTGAGCCCAGGCCAGGCAGATTTCCTCCTGGAGGGTCACTGATGGGCTCCTCCAGCACATCCCCTCCCAGGGAGCAGGGCCCAGAGCCTGGGGGAGGGAAGAAGGAGATGGGGGAGGGAAGGAGGAGATGGCTTATGGGGCAGCACTCCGTGGTTGTACTATGCGTATGCCCACGGATCTTTCTCACTGTTACATAATTGAGGTATTTTTTTCCCCTCCTTATTTTAGATCCGGGTGCCATCTGCCCTGCTTTTCATGCATCACTAGCTCCTGGCTGGAGGTTAGATCTGACTTGGTCACCCGGTTCTATCCCTCTCTTGGTGAGAGACTTGGGGTAGTTTGCTTCCTCTTGTGTAAAATGAGAAAATAACCCCACCCTGCCTAGCTCCCAAGGCTGCTGTGAGAATCAGAGGAGAGGAGGGGCAGAGCTGGCTGCGGACTGGGCCCAGCACTGCACAGGTGTGTCTGGTTGCTCTCTGGCAGCCCGGGCCTGGTGCTACGTAAGCTGAGAGAGCCTCTGCTTGCTCATGTCTGCACCTGCACCAGAAAGACTTGGTGCAGCTTTGCAGAGCCAGTTCCCACTTGAAATACAGGAAATGAGCAGGCCTCATGAGTGGGGAGTCTGGCAGAGCCCACCGCCCCGGGCAGCGGAGGCACCCGGAGCAGCTCATGGCAGGGAGGGCCAGGCCGGCTTGTCACCTGCTTGCACAGCCCTTGGCCCCTGGTGGAGTGTAAAGCACAGCACGTGTTCTGTAACAAGGCACCGTCAGGAGCATGTTGCAAAAAGCCCTTACCCAGCCTCCAGCCATCAAGGGAGGGGCAGTGCAGGCTGAAGGCACCCGTCCGCGGGTCCCCACAGACAGAGGTACCACTGGGCAAAGTCCCAGGTGCAAGCCGAGTCCAGCCCACACCCCCCGCCTGCAGGGCCAGGCTTTGTCTGCACGCTCCCCCTCCTCTTGCCTGAGGCCTCGATGGAGGCCCTGGAACAAGAGCCACTCAAGATTACACCATGGGGTGACAGAGTGGGATTGGGGTGTAGGACTCTCCCCCCCCCCCATCTCAGAGGCCTTGAGGAGGATCCAATGGTATAGTGAATGCCTGGTTCCTGGCTCAGGGCCCTGTGCAGGTGCCTGCTCACTAGTGCCCTGCCCTGCATAGCTGACCGGTACCTGCTGCTTGGGAGATGGGGTTATACTCCAAGGGGCCCAGGCCCAGAGATGCAGGCCTGAATAGACAACAGGTGATGGGTCCTCAGGGCTCACCGACTGAGCGAATCCTTCCAAGGGGAGGGTGCTGGAGACAACGCTGCCACCCAAGGCGGTGCTCGTGGACACCATTAGTCCCCAGCAGCCCCAGACAGTGGGCGCAGGTGGCAGCCTCCCCTCACCCCCACAGGCAGGGGCAGCTCTGCTGACAGGCAGTGAGGGTCTAGGTACCAGGCGACCCTGAGCCATCCACCTGGTTCCCAGGGCTCCTGGGGCCACAGAGTGAGGTGATGGTGAACAGCACCACTCAGGAGACTTTCGTGCTGGCCCTGGATCTGCTCAGACCCACTGTGACGCTGGGTGAGTCACTTCCCCTCTCTGGGTCTCAGTTATGTCATTTACAAAATGGGAATAACCACCTCTACTCTGCCCACCTCAGCTGTCTCTTGTAAGGATCAAAATGAGACCTGCGCCCAAGGATGCTCTCAGCTGCCAAAAGGTGAATAGCAATTATGAGGTTTTCATAAGCATTGAGATGATCTGGAGGGAAGTTGCTCTGGGCTTTCCAATCACTGGGATAAAAATTAAAAATCAGGGCAGCCTGCAGGCCAGCCTAGCAGTCCTGACTTAACGCCTGATGGTCCCAGCAGACGCAGATGCGTCTTCTCCAGTGTTCGGTTTACTGCTGATCCTGACCCAGAGCGTATGACCATCTCCCTTTCCTGCCAGTTCCCAGGCATCCATGCACACGAGTAACTTCAAGTTCTGCATACATTTTCCTTTAATAAAATTAAGCATGGAAACAAAATCTCCCGAGATATAAAAATGAGATTCTGAAAGGCAAGCCTTGTGATTCAAAAAGCTCTTCTTGTTATGTAAAGACAATGACCATCAAGTGTCCCTCCCTGGGCTCTGGAGGGTTTCAGTCTCCCTGCCCACCCTGTCATCCACACAGGCCCTCTGGGCCTCACGGTGCAGATAGGGAGCTGGGCAGGGCATCCCTGCTTGATGACAGAGGGAATCAAAGCCCAAAAGACAGGCTGAATTTTCTCGTTGTGAGACCCTCTCTTCTTTGGCGCTGCCTGAGCCCCATGGCTGGTTCCAGCTCTCCAGGTTCTGCTTTCTCCTGGCACCAGGCTCCACGATTAAGCCAGGCAGCTACTAGAAGAGAAGGAAGAGTTGTTTCTAAAGGGGCCTTGTGTCTTTGTGCCTGGACCACTTCCAAGGTGGGGAATCACCAAACCTTTGAGACCTCAGGCTTGGGTGGGAGCTCCCAAATCAGGAGCTGAGGCCACTCCGGCTGCAAAGGAGATAGGGTACCCTCTAGCGGCAGGCCTGGCCCTTCCAGGGCAAGGCAGAAGGGCTGGTACTCAGGAACCTGTCCCAGGGCCTGCAGATACCTGGAGGAGGGTGTTGCCTGGTTTTGGTCCAAACACGCAGGCTCTGGGCAATTGCAGGGATACTAGCTTTCAAACCCAAACCCAAGGGCTTCCCTGGTGGCACAGTGGTTAAGAATCTGCCTGCCAATGCAGGGTACACAGGTTCAAGCCCTGGTCCAGGAAGATCCCACATGCCACGGAGCAACTAAGCCCGTGCGCCACAACTACTGAGCCTGTGCTCTAGAGCCCGCGAGCCACAACTACTGAAGCCTGCACGCCTAAAGCCCGTGCTCCACAACAAGAGAAGCCACCGCAATGAGAAGCCCGTGCACGGCAATGAACAGTAGCCCCCGCTCGCCATAACTAGAGAAAGCCTGCGAGCAGCAACGAAGACCCAACGCAGCCAAAAATTAAAACAAGTAAAATAAATAAATTTATTAAAAAAAAACAAAAACCCAAACCCAAGAAGTGATAACACAGACTCTGCTGATCAGTGACCTGGTTTAATTAAAAATAAGTCCATAGAAGGAAGGTGAGCCATCAATGAAGGCCACCCTGAGCACCATAGAACAGGTGTGTGTGTGTGTATAAGTGAGACAGGTGAGACAGACAGGTGAGACAGACAGGGAACCTGGACCCACCCCTGGGGGAGGAGAGGCCACAGTGCCCGTCCTATGTATCACAGCTCCTGCCAAGAATGTCCCATCAACAGGGGTCCCACCGCAGGCAAGACCAAGCGGACCCAAACCAGAAACAAATGACCTCTTAACCAATGAGCACCTCCACACAAGTTTGTCCTAAGATAAGCTGGAGAAACCTCAAATGGAAATCTCCAGAATGTTGCCACCCCCTCCACTCAGCTCTGAATCACTGGCTGCAGGCTGCACACAGCAGCACCAAGGACATGCAAAGAGGTGCATGGTGGGCACATGGTATATATGGCCCAGGTGAGGGTACAGAGCTCATCACAGGATCCTCAGATAACTGGATCCAGAGCAGCCCCGGAACATAAAATGTGAAATGTTTCTACAGCAGTGGCAGGAACACACGACTTGGACCTTTATATTTTATATAAAGCAATATAAGCAAAATTGATTTATAAGCAATAAAAGGGTAATTCATGTATCCTCTTTGAGCCAAAAATTCTTCATGTACTAAAGAAAAAAAAACTGCCCTTTTTACTCATGAGGCTGGTTTAAGGATCAAATGAGATAAATTTTTTTGATGTGGACCATTTCTTTAAAGTCTTTACTAAATTTATTACAATATTGCTTCTGCTTTATGTTTTGGTTTTTTGGCCCCGATGCATGTGGGATCTTAGCTGACCAGGGATCGAACCTGCACCCCCTGAATTGGAAGGCGAAGTCTTAACCACTGGACCGCCAGGGGAGTCCTGAGATAAATTTTTTGAACTGATGCTTTGGCTTTAAAATATAAAGGATTTGGATTCTATTTTATAATAAATCTGTTTTTAATATAAAGATGTCTACCTAAAATCGTTGTATAAAATCAATTCCAGAAAGACAGATTCACCATGTTTGCCCTGAGGTTTGTGGGCCCTGCCTACCACTCTGCACCCCAGTTGAGAAGGCCCGAGCCATTCACTGGGCACACGAGTTGAGCTGGGCTGCCTGCTCTGGTTAACGCTCAGACTGGTAGTGGGTCCTCCTGGGACTGGGATAATCCACAAGTGGGTAATCAAGAGGTAATGACACAAGCCCCTCCCCCTCCCTCCCTCCGTCCTCTTCCCTCCCCCCAGGGCTCCACAACAGAAGCCAGTGCGAAACTCCTCAGTGTACGTAGATCCTGTCGGAGATCGCTCCGGCCAAGTGGGTCGTGATCCGCATTCGCACCCAACAGCAGTAGTCCATGGGGTGGTAGCGAGCGTAGGGGGTAGCCGGAGGGCAGGGTGTGGGTGACAGCGCTGATGATGGGGGACGTGTCCGTGGAGCTGCTGTTGCAGTAGGTCTCCGTCTTCGTGACCCTCTCGTCAAAGTACTTCCGGCCGTAGTCCTTGCGCACCCCCGCAGGCAGCTCGTCCCACATCTTACTGGCGATGGCCTGGATGCGCTCAGCGACGTGGAGGCTGGTGGTGGCGATGAAGTTGCCGGGTTCCACCACGCCGACCTTCACTCCCAGTGGGTGCACCTCGTAGCGCAGGCAGTCGGAGAAAGCCTCCACCCCAAACCTGGTGATGCAGTACGGGGGGCCGGCCGCGTGGGCCGTGCGGCCCAGCATGCCGCTGGTGTTGACCACGCAGCCTGCGGAGCAAGACAGCAAACTCCTGCTCACGGAACAATACCTGCAGAGGGTCTGGGGCCTGGCATGTTTCTGGAGATCTGGCCAGAACCCGGCCTTCTGGCCCCTGACAGCTATTTTGCGGCCTGTCAGGCTGGGGCTCCGCCTTCTGAACCAGCCAGGGTCAGGGGTACCCCTCGTTTATAATGAAGGCCAGCTCAGGCCCACACATCAGCGTCAGCATCTCTGGTATTTCCTGGGTAGCTGGCTGTTCCCAGGCAGGACAGGGGAGGAGGAAAGAGTGGAAAGCAGGCCTACGTAGTGGGAGGGCACAGTAAAATGAGCAACACACAGCAAGCTCTGTCTCGCCTGCCATGTTCTCCTATTGCCAGTAACCCCAAATTGTTATCACCTGGTCGGGCTCTGTCGCCAAGAAGGCAGGGGCAGGGTTCTGAACCTGACTGCAGATCTAAGACATGCGGACAGAGTCTCAGGCACCGGGAGAGAGTGGGGAGCTGGAGAAGCTCTCCCATAGGCCCAGCCTGGGGGTGCTAGGAGCTGACCACAGCCTCTCCCAGCCGTGGGGCAGTGGATGGAGAAGGAGCCATCCAGCCTGCCCGGTAAGCCCAGGCAGACTTGAGACCCACTCGCCCTGGGTGTGCACCCAGGAAGTTAAGGCACAGCCCCACCTGGGCACTGTGAGGAGACACCTTTCAGAAACCTCTATGTTGGAAGTTGCTGAAGGATTGGGGTTTTCTTCCAAAACCCTACAGCTGCTCTCTGGGTTCCTCCTGTTATTGCTGGGACACTGGGATGGATGGTATGGATCTTCCCCTTTTTTGCCATAATTGTTTGCTGCTATTGGGAGAAAATCTGAGTCAGTGACTTAGGTGGTTTGCTTACATTTGGCCACCTAACGTGGTTTGTTTTGGCCATTTCTAATCTTGATTATTACTATTATTATTTTCACCTACTACCACAATTGTCTCATTGGTTAACTATGGCGTAGTAACCCATAGAATGGATATGCCAACATTTACTTAACCACACCCCTCTCCATACCTGATGTGTACTCACAGCTCTGTACACAAAGGCGGTTATTTGTCTAGATTAGGTTCCCAGACTGGGATTACAACTGTCATCTTTTAGCCTTTGGTGCAGACCGCTGACCTCTTACCTGCTCTGCTTTCTGAAAATCACACATCCCTTTCTGCCCCCCCCCCCCCGTCCAGGGCACCCCCGCTGGTCACCACCCACGGCCCCGTGTGGCCCCTGGGAGTCATGCACTCAGCCAGTGAGGGCAGTGGATGTTGAGTCTGCTGAGACCTGTTTCCATTCTGAGCAAAGATGAAAAGGTAGAGCAGGCCCAGGGGGCAGGAAGAAGGTCCCTTTCCAACTCAGCTGTGGCCCTCTAAATGAGGGGGAGAAAGGGTTTTGTCCCCCGCACTGTGCCCCAGAGGTTTACTTCCACCACCTCCTTGTAGGTCTCCATGCTGGTGAACTCCACATCCCCCAAACATTGAGATGCCCGCATTGTTAACCAGGCCCTACAAGCCTGGACAGGAGGGGACAGAACCGCACTCATCACAGGGCTCGGCCTCTGGATATCACCCATCAGCCTGCAGGCCATTCCCCTCCTCACTTTCATTCCTTTTCCCCATAACTTGCCAGCTTCTTGTCCAAGGCTCTCGGGACACGTTCTAGAGTCACCCAAGAATGACAGGAGATGGAGAGGCCTAAACTGCAGGCTGTGACCCTCCCTTCAGTCTCGTGTCCAATTCTCATCTCACTTCTGCCTGCAGCGACTCTCTGACCCATCATGACCCAGCCCTCCTCCAGCCTGGAGCCCCACCTCACCTCACTCATTTCTACCCTATTCCCTCCAGTCTCATCCCACTCCCTGCACCTGGGCACCTGTTTATTCATTCCTGCCTCTGAGCCTTCACTTGTATTTTCCCTCTTGCCAGAAACCAGGGGAACCTCAGGAGTCTTCCAGGCCAAGCCCTCTCTGAAGGACCAGAGAGGGGACGCGGTGTCCAAGGTCACACAGCAAGTTAGAGGCTCAGCCAAGCCTTGATGTCGGGTGGGGCCCCCAGTCCAGCTCCACTCCAAGACCCTCCTAACCACTACTCCATCCTCTGTGAACCATGCACTATTGGCTGGGTGTCATGTGCTGAGCCCCTGGCACCTGGTAAGCTGTTCATCAATATGAACAATGGACACACCTAGTCTTTGCAGGTAGCGAATACCCCTCAGCTTTGTGTGGTCCCATGGGGCTTAGTACAGGGTCAGAGCAAACATACACTCTCTGAGTGTACTTGGGTTGACTGTTTCCTGCAAGGCCAGCTAAGGGCCAGATAAGTAGACTCAGAGAACTGTGTGCTAGAAGGATCACTGGAGTCCGTTTAGCCTGATTACTACTCTCACAGCTAGGGAAACAGAGGACCCAAGGGGGAAGCCTGGCTCTGGTGTGACCAGTGAGGCTGAGGCAGAGGCAGAGCTGAACTGGGGGACGGGGCAATGAGGAGGCAGCCTTGTGCTGCAGGGCCCCCTCTGAGCTGTCTTTTGGGTGTAAGGACTGGATGGGCTGGAGCCTCAGGACGGCGGGGCCCTGCCTCTTCTTTGTGGAATCCCTCAGGATTTAGTCTCCCGTGGCCATGAAGGTGCTCCTTGCCAAGGCGTAGCCTCAGGGCACAGCTGCCTCCTGGGGGGCTGACCCCTGCCTGTGGGAACTCTGGCCCTGCGTCACCCCTAGTTAATCATGGAAATGAGTTTGTGTAAATGACAGAGTAATTGGTCTCTAGCTTCTTTCCTTCGTTTTACCCAAATTAAAGCTTCCTCAACTGACCTCTGGTGCCTTCTCCTTCAATTATGGAGAATTAAGGTCATTTATTAGAGGAAGGAAATGGCTGGTTAACAAAGTGCTCATGACGCTCTCACCCCCACTCCCCATGGCGGCCAAGCCGAAGCCTCCCCCGGCTCAGCTCTCAGGGCTGACCTCACGCAGCCCCCCCCCCTCCCCCCCCGCCCCCCCCCCACTGCAGACTTTCCCCTGCAAGTCTTTGCCCCACTCCTGTCACCAGGAGAAGCAGGAGGCCTCTCACCAATTGTCAATGCTGCCACTTCACCCTCCACCTTCCACACCATCAGCCATCCATTTTCTCTCTTACGCAACTTCCACTCCTCCCTTGCCCCGGCTCCCTCCCTTCAACATTGTACACAGCAGATGCTCAATAAATGTTTGTCAGGTGAATGACTGTCTGCAAATACCATGTCCCCATATCCCAAAGAACTTTTTCTTAATCACGCTACCCCCTCACACCACCGTCTTGCTCTCCTTCCCTCCACAGCCAGGCTTCTGAGAACGTAAGCTACACTCTCCAGTTTCCCAGTTCCCTGCCACTCTGGGTCCCGGCCCCATGCTGCTCCAGGGTGGCCAGGGCGGCCCATGCTAAGGACGTCTCCCTCATCCCTCACCCCCGCCATCTTCACTGGCCTCAACCTCTCCCTCCGCACCTGGTGTGCTTACACCTCTTATGGATCCTGACCCTCACTCCTCCCTTCGCATTAATGATACCCAAGCATCTCCTCCATCTTCCCTGACCCCTTTCTTCCACCTGTCCCTCAATGTCCTGTCCTAGTGCACCTTCCCTCAAATGACACTCAATGCTTAGGCAGCCTCATCTTCTTTATGTTCATGGGAATTTCCAGCTGCTTTGTGTTTGATTCATATGGCACAGTATCACACAACATAAAATACATACAGTCCTTTTATCCAGCTAAAATTTAATTACATCTGACACCGATAACGAAAAAGTTTAACTGAACTTGACCTGTGGAAGCACACTGTTCCTGGATCACAACTCTGACGACATGATAAGTAGCAACGGTCTGTGGACGAAGGAGCTCACTGGAGTCCTCAGCCAGCATTCTGAATAAACTCATGACATTCCTGCTGGTCTGGGTGACAGCTGTTCTCCTGCAACGGCCCCATCGCCACCTCCGAGTAACTGTTCCAATGTACCCCCAGGGAGTCATGGCTCCTCCCAACCCCACCTCCTCCTCCAGACCATCGCTCTTACCTGCATGTCCCACAGGTCCCCAACTCATGCTAACCAACCAACACACCAAGTGCCCAGTGGCCCAAGCCTGCTCCTCTTCCTTGCTAATAGTTTCACTGTCATCTTCAACTCCTCCGGCCCCTTCATCTCTTCCCCATCTAATGAGTCAAGAGTACTATTAATATTACTGAGAAAGATCAAAAGGACAGCTGCCAGGCCCTGAACTAAGCACTATGCATCCATTCATTCTCCTGATCCTCACAACCAACCTATAAAAAAGTACGATAGATACTAAATTGTTCCATATCTGGATGAGGCAACTGAGGCTCAGAGAGGTTAAGAACCTTGCTCAGTGTCACCCAGCTAACCAGTGGACAGGAGGGCATTAGGACCCAGGTCTGTGTGAGGACACAGCCCTGGCACTTAACCCTGTGCTGCTGTTGCCTTCCTTTGCTGTGTCCTTAGAATCCGTGCCTTCTTTCCTGTGTCTACAGCATTAGTTTGGGTCCCTGTTGCCTCCCTCCTATGTTGTTGGAGAAGCCCTCCCAGGTCTCCCTGTCACAGTCTCTTTCCTCCTCCTCCATCCTGATCTGACCCCCTCCGGCAGACTCTCCTCCTCGGTCAACCACTTCCTGCTCCTATGCTTCCCTTCCGGAGTGGGGCGTGCGAGGCCTCCTTTCCCATGCTTCTCACCCACTCCCCACCAAGGACTCTGCCCTCTCTGAGCCTGAACAGCCTGCCACTCCTCTGACATCGCAGCCCCTCCTGCCTCCGCTGCTTCCTGGCTCTGCTCAGCTCCCCTGCCCCTCAGCCTGAGAGCAGCTTTAGTTGAAATGCCCCTGCCGTGGTCAGATTGACATGTGAGCCTCACAGATGGACAAGCTGAGACCCTCACAGGTGAAGGGACAAGCCCAAGATCACACTTCTAGTAAGAGGCTAAGCCCAGAGTAACTCCAGTCTTCTCACTCCCAGACCAAGGGGGCCCCAGATGTAGGGTCTTCCCTGTCCGTGGCATAATGTCTCCAGTGCTATAACTGTTCCTCATAGGTCCCACCGTGAAGCCACTGACTTCCACTTGGCTGGTGCCCAACTACAGACTTCTCCTCCCCGCTCATACCCTTTCGGGTGCTCAGCATACTACCAAGTATACAGTAGGCACTCAATAAATGTTTACTGAATGCAAGATAAGGGATGGTTTCAAGATCAGGCCAGGCCCACAGCCTGCTGGTTGGTCTACTCACTTGGCCTTTCCCTGCAGTGGGGAGGAGAGGGCTGGTTACAGGCTCTGGATGTCCAGTCCCTCAGAGCCCTGCTGGGGAGCAAAGGGGCTCGTGGCAGATGGCTCACCAGCTCTAATCGGACAATGCCCTTCATCTCACCACCACGCTGGCTCCCCTGGCTTTGGCAGCAACTGTTCCACAGAGCCAGGGTGAAAGGCATCAAACTCGCCATCAAAATGTGCCCTCCACGGTGCAGGCAATGGGAGTGGGGAGAATGCACTTGTCTCCCGGAAGGTTCCTGCTGGGGTCGATGGGTGGAGTACGATTCAGAGCGGCCACCAGCTTAGGAAAGGCATCTGGTCTGAAAGCTCAGGGAGGGCACCACCTGGAGGTCAAAGACAGTATTGCCTGAGAAGGCAGGAATTTGCACTGTTTTACCGGGAAAAAGACAGTTGGGAGGAGGGGGCAGGAAGGGAGAGAAAGAGGGAGAGAGAGACATGTGCAACCAGGTACCTGACAGATTTTTTTTCTTTTTCAGACCTAAAAATCTTCACATCTTTCTTCCAAAAAATGCAGTATTGGTTAAGTAAGGTCATGGTAAGTGGTTTAACAACCCTTCCTGAAATGCATCGAGCAGAAAAAAGCAGCAGGGAAAGGTTTGTGTGTCAGGGTGGTGCTGGGGTTTGAGCCCAATCCAAGGGCAGGGGGTGAGTGCTTCCCCCTGCAACCCAGGGTCCTCCCCGCCTTGCCCGGTTAGGCTAACTGGCCAGACTAGTACAGGGAATGGAGGTGATTCTGCCCTGGCGGCAGAGGACAACAAGAACCAGGGTCTGTGTACTCAGGTGCATCCCTTAAGAGGTGCCCAGTTGTTCCAGCTACAGTTGGAAATAAGGGCATCGCCACCTGTCCTGACCTGCTCAGGTTAGTGCAATGAGGAAATTGTTTTTTTAAAAAACCTGTTATATGACAAGCTCTATGCAAATTCAGGTATTATTAAACAGGAGAAAAGTGTCATTCACTCAGCAAACATTTCTTGGGCCTCTGTCATGTTCCAGCACTGTGCTAAGAACACAGACACAAAAATAAATAACTCAGCCTCTGTTCGCAAAGAGTCAAGTTTTAGGGAAGGGGGCAGATGGGTAAGCAAAGAATACGGGGTGACTTTGCTGTATGAAAGCTTGTGGGAGGTGGGAGGCTGCACAGAAGGTGGGGTGGGCAGGGAAGAGCCTCCAAAGGCAGTGCCAGCTGAGGACATTAACAAGAGGGGGCCTGGGGATGGGGCACTGCAGGAGGAGGGGCACTACGGTCCTGCCGTAAGCCACTGCAGGCAGAGCAGAGGCAGAGGGAAGTGGTGGGACATGAGGCAGGAGAGGTGGGCAGGGGTCTGCTTGGGGTCCGGGGTGAGCTGCTGGAGGATTTGAATAAACTAGACGTCATTTATTGTTTACTGTGCTTCACACTGTGCTAAGCACTTGACACGCATTATCTCATTAGTCCTCACGTCCTAAGCAGGTTGTATTACCGTATTTCCTGTATTCTATGACACATACTTTTTTCACCATAGGGATGAGCTACGATCGATGTGAAAATTAAACACTGTCAGTCATAATTTAATTGGTAGCGACTTTTCTCAGTGGTCTACAGAACAGTGATGCATCTTATGAGAGGGAAAGGAGTAGCTGCCAGAGGATGAAGTGATGGAGAAATGCCTACTCTCAGCCGAGGGCTTGCCTGGGCTACATCTGGTACTGAAACAAACATCCCCAGGAAGGCCAGAGCGGGAAGCACGAGGATGGTCAGCATACACCGGCGGTGGAAAGTTCTCTGCAGATTGGGCTGAGTGTCAGTGGTTTGAACTAGGAGGACCCTAACCCCAGGTTCTCCAGGGGGCCTCCCCAGTGGCCCTGGAAGCAGCAGCACGGTGTAGCACCAGGAATGCCAGCCACATCCAGAGTCACCTCTGCACAGAGCAGCCAGGTGTGAGGCTCAGTCCACGCTGAACCCCCCTGGTATGCCAGTCTTCCCAAACAACATGGTGTTCCAGCTATGGGGGAGCAGACGAGCCTGGAGCTCCTGCTGCCGTCCCCACAGAGGGCTGCACCAGAGAAGAGCTCCCTGGACGCCGTCTTCAAGTCCAGAGGCTGGAGGGGCTGGTGCCCACAGACACCTCTCTTTCCCACAGACAGCACGTGGACATTAGGAAAACACATGTCTTGTTTTAATTCAGTCTTCATATCGTGGTTCCTCAAATGCCCCTTGGGGTAGAGCCCGCGTGGCCTGAGTCTCTGAGGGATGCTGATGTCTACTTCCGATAGCACGGATTCCAGCTGCTATCGAGAGCTGAGTGACATTTCCTCCTCTGGACTTCGTTAACCCTGCTGCCATCTGGCAGCAGCTCTCGGGCCCCACGCCAGACCTCTCCTGTGCCTCTAGCCAGCATCAAGCCAATGCCTCTGCAGTTCCCGGGGGAAGCCCCTCACTCTAGGCCAGGGTACCGGCAGGAACTTAGCTTGGCAGCTTGGCAGCTAAGAGCCTTCTCACAGAGGAAACCGGGGGTTAATCTCACAGCCCACAGCTTCAGGCTCAGCATTCAGGCCCCAGGAGAGAAACCCCACCCTCCTACCTTCTCCAGACATTCCTCCCAGGAGTCCTCATCTGCCTCTGAGCAGCCTGCATGTCCTGCTGTCAGTTTGCCTCCAGCTGTTCAAAGGAAACTTTTCCCAACCCCCCTCAGCCCGCAGACCATGGCAGTCTGTCCCCTTCCGGATCCACCTGTCCCGGGGCCCAGGCTGCACTGCCCGGGCCACACTGCCTCCCTGGCTCCAGGGTTTCTGTCTTTGTCCATGTCTGTCTTGCTGCTCAGGGACAAGCATTCGGTCCGACTGTGTTGGTGCCTGTGTAACCGGTTTATTGATAAACCCACTTCTTTCACTATCCCTTTAAACTTCATCTGTAAGCTACTTTACCACCCCTGGATGAAATTTCAGGCAAGTCTTGTAGCTTTTCCACTCATTCTCAGATCACAGAGAACCTCTTTGTTTTGGCAGGGAGTCCAGTTCAGTCTACTAATCAAATAACTCCTGTCCAGTCTGGCTTGAATACCCAAACTCTCAAACTTATATCCAGTTTAGATATCCAGTTTGGATCTAGAGACTGTCATACAGAGTGAAGTAAGTCAGAAAGAGAAAAACAAATATCGTATATTAAAGCATATATGTGGAACCTAGAAAAATGGTACAGATGAACTGGATTGCAGGGCAGAAACAGAGACACAGATGTAGAGAACAAACGTATGGACACCAAGGGGGGAAAGTGGCAGGGGCGGGTGGTAGTGGTGTGATGAATTGGGAGATTGGGATTGACATGTATACACTGATATGTATAAAATGGATGACTAATAAGAACCTGCTGTATAAAAAAATAAATAAAATAAAATAAAGTTCAAAAAAAACACAACAATTTATATCCAGTTTAGAGCCTGCCCTGACCCAGGCCTGGCAGGGCTGTGGGAAGTGGGAGTGGGGTGCCAGGTAGCAGGGCTGGAAGCTGGCCTTCTCACTATTTTCAAGTTCGTCCTCCTCTCCTATTCCTTAATCTCTGACCCTTCCAGGGCTGGATGCAGGGGCTGACTAATGAAACGGCGAGATGTAGTCTTCCGAGGGTGGTGCCATTGTTGTCTGCTCTTGGAGCCCTGGGACAGCAGGTGCTCAAGAACTGGTCCTCCCTTCTTGGGACACTTTTGTGGTTTCCGCAGAGATCCTTCCACTGGACCATTCCCTCCTCTACCTGGGCATCTCCTCCCTCAGCCTGGGTGCTTCAGTGCGACACCCTTCTGGCTGAGTCACACGCACCCTCCTAGAGGTCTCACTGCACAGGTGCCCTTAAGATAACTCCAGGCAGCTCTCCCATTGTGCATATCAGGTCCAGGCGGCAGTGTCCTGCCTGGGTAGAAGGACAGCCCTCTCTCTAGGGGCTCTCTTTGCTCTGCTTCCAGATGAGCCACTCCACCCTCATTTGAGGGCTTTTAGACTTCTTTTGGTAAACACTAACACACCATTTTGTGACCTCCAAACTCCAAGGCACAAAATGTAAGTTCTCCAAGTAAGTTCTCTTGAAGCCCACCTCATTTTAGTTGAGACCAGAGGGAAAACAGCACAGCACCCTAACTACCCTTTCCAACCGTTCAACCTCTTCTACCTCAATTTATTACAACATGGAGGCAGGTCATGGGCTAGTCCCAGCAGAAAGGTTTCACAGTCGCTCAGCATTTATCGTTAGGCAGTCTAGCACCTCAAGGCAGAATGTGAGGGCACTCAGCACATATTATATGTGAGCATCTATCACACGTATTAGAAACATGGTGACAAGAGGAACAAGTCTGGAGTGTTGTAATAGTACAGGATGAGCCAAAGGAGGAGCCAGCAAAGGAGATGGAGAAAAACCAAGAGTGCAGGGTGTCCACAAAGTCAAGAAACAAAGCGTTACAAGCGGGAGTGGTTTGTTTGGTCAAAGCTGCTGACAGGTTGCATATGAAAATGGTCTGAGAAGTAGCCAATGGATCTGACAAAATAGGGGCTGCTGGCATCCTTGATAAAAGCCGTATCAGAGGCATTCAGAGCCCCGCCTGGTCTGGTCCTGCCTTCCTTTCTCAGCTTCCTCTTCCTCCACAAAGGGCACTAGGCTTCAGCTACCTCAAAGTACCAGTGATGTCTGGATATGCCACCTCCGCCCATCACGGGGAACTCCTGTTCGTCCTTACAGATGGTGATGAAATGCCATCTTGGCCCACCAAGCCTTCCCTGCGCTCCCAGAGAGGCAATCTTTTCCTCCTCCGATACAAATCTTCCCACCACCACCCCCCATGCTCATTCAGACTCCGCCCCTCTCACTTATTGGGCTTCAGCCACAGAGGCCTCCTGCTGTTTCTCTAGCCCCCCAGGCACAGGCTCTCCTTGGGGGTTTTGGCTTGGCCGTCCCCTTTTCCCACACGCATCTGCATGACTTGCTCCCTCACTTCTCAGTGAAGTCCTTCTTCCCTCTTTAAAACCCTTCCACCACATTCACCCTCCATCTTCTTTTCCTGCTTTATTTTCCTCCATAGCTTTTATCATCCCACAGAGAAGCAATTTACTTACTTACTGTATTCCTTGTCTATCTCCTCCCCCCACGTAAACTCCACAGGGCAAGAACCTGTCACTGAATTGGTACATGCTGTAGCTCCAACAGAGAATGTTGTTGGATCATAGCAGGTGCTCAATAAACATCTTTTGGTGAATAAACAAATAAACAGAGTGGTAGGAGCAAAAGCCCCATCTAACTAGGTTGGGGGAAAAAATGGAAAGTAAATGAAAATATCTAGTACAAGAAACCCTCTCAGGGTGCTTTTCTATAAAGGAAAGCAGAGAAATGGGGTGGTAGCACACACAGGAAGTGGAGTTGTGTCGTGGTGTGTGTGTGCGCACACGCATGTACATGTGCCAAAGTGATTTGGTAGAGAGTGAGGGGTTAATGATGTGGGAGGGTGGAGACACCTATCTGGTGGAGCCAAGTCCCTGAGCTGGCCTGAGGCACTGAGATCTGAAGCACTAGAGGAGGGGTAACTAAATAAGAGCAGGCAGAGTGTTTGGCAGACGTAGCTAGAATCTATCATGCGGCTTAACATCTCAGAACCAGCTTGGAAGACTAAGCTCCCATTTTCAACTCCTGCAGCACTTTATCCATAGCCCCTAATGGCTCTGACCATTTTCTGGTTTGCATAACTAGTTCAGACCTCTAGTGACTTCTGCCCCCTCTAGCTCTTAACCAGAACAGACAGACCATGACACCGTAATACTCAAGAGGTAGACACCACCAGACATAACCTGGCAGTGATTTGCCTGGTATTCTCCTCAAAGTTAGTACGTGTCACTAACTCATAAAATCACCGCTGCAGGAGTGGAAGGACCTAAGATCACCCAGTCGGACCCTCTCGTTATAAGTAAGAGCAGACTGGGGCTTAGGGAGGCGAAGTGCTTGCCCAGTTCCCAGGTTAGTGGCTGATCTAGGACTAGCACCCAAGGCCCTGACTCCCTCTCGAAAGCTCCTCTGCAGCATTAGGTCCAGGTGTGCTCCCACCTTGTCCCTGGACAGGCCAGCACAATGGCACAGGTGCTGAATATATGAATGAGGAATTTTAAAGGCACAAAGTGTTTTGAGGCATCACGACTCCTGCCAGGACCTGTTAAGGCAGGTCCACATTATACAGAGAACCCAACCTTAAGCATGGCCACACCCATTTCCCCCCAAATCCCTTCACCATTAGAGGGAGTAGGCACTGGTATAGCTTTCGAGGGGAGCACTTTGGCAAATTTGAATAAATTCTAAAATCTGCACACCTTTCCACCTAGCACTTTCACATCTAGAAATTTTTCCTAAGAATTACTAATGAAAGATAGGTGCAAGACTATTCACTGTGGCTTTGTTTATAATAACGGAAGTAAGAAATACAGTGCACAGATGAATTGCAGTTACTCTGGGGCAAGAGACTGAAATGAAAAGACTTCACTTTTTTACACCACATATTTCTGTATTGTTTGAATCTATTAGGAATATGTACTACTTTCATAATGCAAAATAAGTAAAAATTAAAAGGACAAACTCTGATCTAGAAATATGTTCAGACCATGACAATGCAAATTACTTTACTATTTATACTTGTTCATATTCTTGAATTTTTTACATTGAACAGATACTGTTTTATAGATATTAAACCTAGTAAAAAAAAAAATTCCTTCCCAGGGTTCCTACTGCCTTCAAAATAAAGAAAAATGTCTCATCCACTGAGCAGAGACAGCAAGTTGTCCTGAATACCCATTCTTCCCTTCTTCTATAGCAGTAAGACCCCTGACTTAAAGCAGGGTACATATTGTTTCAGAATACCAATTACATTTCCCAGAATCCCTAGCAGTCAGGTAGGCCATGTGACTAAGCTCTGGCCAATAGAGTGACAGCATGGGTGCTATATGTGCAACTTCTGGATCATGCGTTTAAAGAACAGTAAAAGAAGCACTCACAGTAAGAGAAATACAAATTAAAACTATATTGAGATACATTTCTCACCTAACAGATTGGCAAAAATCAAAAGTTTGAAGTACACTCTGTTGGTGAAAGTATGCAGAAACAGGTATTCTCATACATTACTGGTGGGAATATAAAATTACACAACGCCTATGATAGGAAATTGGGGGATATCTTTTAAAATGATGACTTATTTCATTAACCCTTTGACCTAAGAGTAATCTCATTCCCAGGAATTTACCCTAAAGGTAAACCTCCAAAAAATATGTGAAAAATACATACTCACAAGGTTATTCATTGTGGCATTATTTGTAATTGCAAGATATTGGAAAACAACCTAAATGCTCATGCGTATATAGGAAACCAGTGCAGTAAACTATGGTCCACCCACACAATGGAGTACTATGATGCTGTTTAAAAAAAGTGAGGAAGATCTCTGTGAATTCACATGGAGTGGTTTCCAAGATATATTGGTAAGTTTCTTAAGTACAAAAGAGTATACACATTTGTGTAAGAAGGGGGAAATGAAAGAATGGAGTGGAGTAGAAAAAAATAGGAGGTGGGAGAGTAACAGTACTTTGAGTTTACCTTTTTATATAATTTTGACTTTAGATACTTGTTAATGTTTTATATCTTCTAAAATTAAATAAATCAAGAAGAATAGGGGGAACAAAATACAAACAAATGAATCAAACTTTTTCAAATTAATAATAATTAATCCAAGTAACTTTAAATACAGTGCTTTGTATACCTTTGGTCAACAGATAAAAAACACTTTAAAGAAATCTTAAGCTCTACTGTGGTGGCCACAGTAGACTTCCTTTCAGGACAACCTGCTGTGGGAGCAGCTTACAGAAGGTCTCCAGCTGCCGCAACTTCAGATCCACTGCGGCATGAATGCCATGGCCATGGCCATATGTACCTGAGTTACTATCAGCCAATGGCCAAGCATGACAAAAGTACAGGGCCATTCCTGCCCAAGGCAGGTCTCCTCTAATAAATAACCTTTGCTGGGGACGTCCCCATCGTCCCAGCCGAGACTCTCAGACTGAACTGCAGTCTGACCTGCGCCTACCTATTCCTCTTTTCACAGACCTGCATTGCAGTCTAAAGGATTGCCCTGACTTTTCCTGCTCTCTGCCCTTTAGCCATTACAGGCATTCCCTAGATCAAGCTCTTTTACATCGAATCCTATTTCGGCACCTGCTTCTTGCAGGATCTGGCCTGACACAACAACTTAGTAGCTTTGCTGTTTGTAATGGTATGAATGTAGCAATTCTGAAGCATTTGTGTATATATTGTAGGATTAACTAAATTAGTAAGTATATCGATATAGTTGGGAATCAGCATGCTAACTGCAGGAAAAGAAGAAACAAATATGGAATGAGGGAAGCAGGAAGAATGCTGTTGTGTTGAATTGGAATAGGTCAGTATAACCTCATGAACTGTGTGTGTGTGTGTGATATTTATAGGAAATGTATATAGGAGATAGATATAAATAGATATAGTGTGGGTATATGTATATATATGGGTATGATTATATACACGTCTTCTAGCTTCGTCCGCTGAGGAGATCGAGGAGCAGCAATGTCCCATTAGCAATGAGAACATCTAATGCCCAGATGTTGGTGTCTAAATTCCATTAAAAGGAACCAGGGGGGCTTCCCTGGTGGCGCAGTGGTTGAGAGTCCGCCTGCCGATGCAGGGGACGTGGGTTCGTGCCCTGGTCCGGGAAGATCCCACATGCCGCAGAGAGGCTGGGCCCGTGAGCCATGGCCGCTGAGCCTGCACGTCCAGAGCCTGTGCTCCGCAACGGGAGAGGCCACAACAGTGAGAGGCCCGCGTACCGCAAAAAAAAAAAAAAAAAAGGAACCAGGTAAAAACACATGTCTACACAGAGACATGTATGTGAATGTTCATAGTGGCATTAGTCACAATGGCCAAAAATCCAAACATTTTAATCCAAATATCTATCAACTAGTGAATTTTTAAATGTAGCATATCCATACAATAAAATACCAACCAGTAGTAAAAAGGAATGAACTACTGATACATTCTACAATATGGATGAATCTCAAACACATTATGCTAAGTAAAATAAACCTGGCACATAAGACTACTCATTGTATGATTCCATTTATTTGAATAGTCCAGAAAGGCAAATCTAAAGAGGCAGAAACCAGTGGCTACCTAGAACTAGAGGTAGGTGTGGGTAGTTGTGCAAATGATCAAGAGGGAAATTTTTGAAAGTTGGAAATATTCTAAAAATGGATTGTGGTAAATGTTGCAGAACTTGCTAAATTAGGGGAATTGTCTCCTAATTACTTTTACAGCTTCATGTCCCAATGCTTCCTTTCATGCATCCTAAATTCCACTTTATGAGTCCCAGTGGAGCCTCATACTTCCAAGCCTATGGTTAGGTTACTCCTTCTGTCTGACAGGTCATTCCTCCCAGTCTCCACCTATGACAGCATTATTCATTCTCCATGGCCCAGAACAAATGTCACCCCTTTTGTCATGCCAGAGTCAATCCCTTCCTTCGTGCATTCTCATTAAACATTCTTTGCACAACCCTGAGAACACTCTCCACTCTAATTCTTCCAGCTGTGTCTGTGCATGGCTGTCCCATCACCACTGGACAATGCTCCTTGGGGACAGGGATCAGGTCTTACTCCTCTTCAGCACCTAGCAAAGTGTCAGGAACATCATTAGCATTTGGCAAATGAACAAATGAATGAATGAAGCTATGAAGAACAAGTGACACTGAAGTGAATGGAAAAGATATCAGCTGTTGTAAGCAACAGATGAGCCAGTTGTTGGGAAGGCAATTAAAAAACAACTACAAACACTGGCCCAGGTTCTGGGCAGTACTGATATTAAATATTCAGCTTGAAGTAAGATTCTGGGAAGATGGCAGACTAGGAAACACCAGGAATCTGTCTCCCCACCTAGACAATAAGTGCACTGGCAGAATCTGTCTAATGTAACTATTTTGGAATTCTAGAATCTGTTGAAGGCTTGCAACTTCCAGGAGACTGTATGGATAGTAAATTGCGGTTGATTTTGGCCAATCTAACCACTTCTATTCAACATATTACTGGAAGTTGTAGCCAGAGCAATTAGGCAAGAAAAAGAAATGAAAGATATCCAAACTGGAAAGGAAGAAGTAAAACTATCTGCTTGCAGATGACATGATCTTACATGTAGAAAACCCTAAAGATTCCACAAAAGTAAAACCCTGTTAGAAATAACAAGTGAATTCAGCACAGTAGCAGGATAAAAGTCAACACACAAAAATTAGGCACATTTCTACACACAAGCAATGAACAATCTGAAAAGGAAATGACAAAAACAATTCCATCGACAATAGCATCAAAAAAGAATAAAATACTTAGGAATTAGCTTAACCAAGAAGGCGAAAGACTTGCACAATGAAAACCACAAAACATTTCTGAAAGAAATTAAAGGTGAAAGAAATAAATGGAAACACATCCTGTGTTCATGGATCGGATGACTTAATACTGTTAAAATGTCAATACTACCCAAAACAATCCACAGATTTAATCCAATACCTGTCAAAATCGTAATGATGTTTTTTTAGAGCAAGAGAAACCTATCCTAAAATTCATATGGACTCTCAAGGGACTCCAAATAGCCAAAACAAACTTGAAAAAGAAGAACAAAACTGGAGGACTCAGACTTATTGATTTCAAAACTTACTACAAAGCTACAGTAATCAAAATAGTCTAGTACTGGCATAAAGACAGACCAATGGAATAGAATTGAGAGCCCAGAAATAAACCCTCATATATACGGTCAAATGATTTTTGACAAGTGTACCTTGACCACTCACTGGGGAAAGGACAGTCTTTTCAACAAGTGGTGCTGGGAAAAGTGGATATCCACATGTAAAAGAATGAAGTTGGACCCTTACCTAATACCACACACAAAAATTAACTCAAAATGGATCAAGAACCTACATGTAAGACCAAAACAATAAAACTCTTAGAAGAAACACAGGGCAAAACTTCATGACATTGGATTTGGCAATGATTTCTTGGATATGACACCAAAGGCGCAAGTAACAAAATTAAAAATAGGCAAATTAGACTTCATAAAAATTTTTAAATTTTGTATATCATAGACACTATCCCCAGCGGAAAAAGGCAACCAACAGAGTGGGAGAAAATATTTGCAAATCACATATCTGATAAGGATTTAATATCCAGAATATATAGAGAACTCCTAAAACTCAACAAACAACAATGAAAACATACCATTAAAAAATGGGCAAAGGACTTCAATAGACATTTCTCCAAGGAAGATCTATGAATGGCCAGTAAGCACATGAAAAGGTTCTCAACATCAAAAATTATGAGGGAAATGCAAATCAAAACTACAATCAGGGCTTCCCTGGTGGCGCAGTGGTTGAGAGTCCGCCTGCCGATGCAGGGGACACGGGTTCGTGCCCCAGTCCGGGAAGATCCCACATGCCGCGGAGCGGCTGGGCCCGTGAGCCATGGCCGCTGAGCCTGCGCATCCGGAGCCTGTGCTCCGCAACGGGAGAGGCCACAACAGTGACAGGTCCGCATACCGCAAAAAAAAAGAAAACACACACACACACACACACACACACACACACACACACAAACTACAATGAGATATCACCTCATACCCATTATGATGACTATTATCAGAAAAAAAACCCCAGAAAACAACAAGTATTGGCAAGGATATAGAGAAACTGGAACACTTGTGCACTGTTGGTAGGAATGTAGAATGGTACAATCACTGTAGAAAACAGTGTGGCAGTTCCTCAAACAATTTAAGATAAAATCATCATATGATCCAGTAATTCTACCTGTGGGTATATACCCCAAAGAATCGAAAGCAGGATCTTGAAGAGATATTTGTACACCCATGTTCATAACAGCATTATTCACAATAGCCAAAATGTAGAAGAAGCCCAAATGTCCATTGACAGATGAATGGATAAGCCATATACAGCATACACACACAGTGGAATATTACTCAGCCTTAAAAAGGAAGGAAATTCTGTAATATGCTACAGCATGGATGAACCTTGAGGACATTATGCCAGTCACAAAAAGACAAACACTGCACGAGTCCACTTATATTAGGTACTTAGAGTAGTCAAATTCATAAAGACAGAAATTGTAATGGTAGCTGCCAAGGACTGGAGGGGAGGGGAGAATGGGCAGTTATTGTTTATATTAGGTATAGACTTTCAGTTTTGCAAGATGAAAAGTGTTGTGGGGATGGATGGAGGTGATGGTTGTACAACAATGTGAATATATTTAACACCGCTGAGCAGTACGCTTAAAAGTGGTTAAGATGGTAAATTTTATTTTGTATGTATTTGATTACAATTTTAAAACCCTACCAAACAATGACTATGTATAAAAGGACAATGATGGGTTTCCCTGGTGGCGCAATGGTTGAGAGTCCGCCTGCCGATGCAGGGGACGTGGGTTCGTGCCCCGGTCTGGGAAGATCCCACATGCCGCGGAGCGGCTGGGCCCGTGAGCCACGGCCACTGAGCCTGCGTGTCCGGAGCCTGTGCTCCGCAAGGGGAGAGGCCACAACAGTGAGAGGCCCACGTACCGCAAAAAAACAAACAAACAAAAAAAAAAAGGACAATGATTATGAAGACGCCCCATCTCTTACCTTCATCAAGTAGCCAGCAAATACAAGGAAGCCTTTTGAATGCCGATGCTTGGCCAAGGAGAACCCAAATCCAGAGTCACAGCCTGTGACCAAGACAGCTTTGCTGGCAACCTGTTTTAAAAGGTCAGACCCCACATTAGGAACCCAGGATCCTGAGGGCTGAATGACCAGGCCTCCTCTGGGCAGTAAAAATTAGGGCTTCCTGAGTGGGCCAGGCCTGGCCCTCCCCACTTGTCTCTTGCTGTTGGGAGAAGCACCCTGGTATAGTAGAAATGCTTGGACTCAGAATCAAGAGACCAGGTTCTAACCCAGACTCTACCACCGACTAGCAATATTGCTTGGGGAAGTTACCTCCTCTTTCTGGACCTCAGTTTCCTCATCTACAATCACCATCATCACCATCACCATCATCACTGTCATCTTCATCGTCAAGTACTGAGTACCTACCATGGGCAAGGCACTGTGCATGCATTATTTTAATTCTCACAGTAACTCCATACAATAAGTATGATTACTATATCACGTTACAAGTGAGGAAATAGACATTTTAAAATGCCCAACATAATTAGCGATAGATCTGGAACTGAAAGAAGGACTGAGAGATTTCGGAGTCTAAACTCTTAACCCCTAACTTCATTTGATGGGGCAGGGGTTGTTCAGCGAGTGAGAGAGTGGCTCTGAGTGCCCTCGAAGCACAGAAGCCCTTACTCTGAGGGTGGGTCAGGGCGTGGGAGCCCAGGGAGAAGGGCTCTGACCAGCTGGCTGGCTCCCAGGTAGCCGGGCTGCCACTCACTGGGTTCACCGAAGCAGCGTGTAAGTCCGACGGTCAACAGGGACAAAGGAGGCAGAGTGAAACAGCAGCGAGCCTCTGCAAGAGGAAAGAAAGCCATGAGCAGAGGCTGTGGTCACACCAGACCTTGTTCTGGGGTGGAAGCAACTCAACAGGCCCTCAGGCACCAGTACCCACCCTACTCACTACTCCTACCCCAAACCCCTGAGGACCACCTGCTGGTACCACTTAGGAGGAGGGCCTGTTTCCTACAGGTTACTAGTCTGGGACAAAGTGGGCCAGCAGTTGCAGTGGACATTTTTGCCACTGTGTAGGAAGAGCCTTCCAGCGATAGACCTCTGTTAACAAAGCCTTCTGTAAATGCAACGTCTTAACCCTTAGGTTTTATATGGTTCCCTGATAGTTTTTTTATTTTGAAATAATTCTAGATTCACATGAAGTTAAGAATACAGAGAGATGCCCTGTACCTTTTACCCTATTTCCCCTAATGGTAACATCTTGCAAAACTCTAGTACAATATCCCAACCAGGATATTGACATATGCAGTGAAAATACAGAAGAGTTCCACCACCACAAGGATCCTTTGTGTTATCCTTTTATAGCCACACCCACTCCCACATCCTCTTTAACCACTAATCTGTTCTCCACCTCTATAATTCTGTCATTTCAAGAATGGAGTCATAGAATATTAACCTTTTGGAATTGGCTTTTTTCACGCAACATAATTCCCTAGAGATTCATCTGATTGTCTATTGTTGCATGTATCAATAATTTGTTCCTTTTTATTGCTAAATTGTATTCTATGGTATCCTGTACCACAGTTCGTTTAACCATTCAACTATTGAAGGCCATCTGGGTTGCTTCCAATTTAGGGCTATTACAAATAAAGCGGCCAGGAACGTTCCTGTACAGGTTTTGTGTGAACCTGTTTTTCTCTTGGGGAAATGCCCAAAAGAGCAATTGCTGGGTCACATGGTAGTTGCATGTTCAGTTTTTAAAGAAACTTTTAAACTGTTTTCCAGAGTGGCTATAGCATTCTACATTCCCAGCAGTGATCCAGTTTCCCCATATCCTTGCCAACATTTGGTGGTATCACTATTTTTTATTTTAACCATGCTGGTAACTGTGTAAAGATATCCACTGTGGTCTTAATTTGCATTTCTCTAATGGCTAATGATGTTGAAAATCTTTCCATGTGCTTATTTGCCATCAGTATATCCCCTTTGATTAAAATGTCTCTTTATGTCTTTTGTGCATATTCTATTGTAATTGGAGTGTTTGTTCTTTCACTATTGTTTTGACAGTTCTTTATATGTTCTAGAGGCTAGTCCTTTGTTGCATATGTGGTATGCAAATATTTTCTCCTAGTCTATAACTTGTCTTTTCATCCTCTTAACAGGATCTTTACGTAGAGAAACAGTGTTTCATTTTGATGAAGTCTGATTATTCAATTTTTCCTTTTATGGATCAATCATATTTTGGTGTCAAGTTTCAGAACTCTTTGCCTATGCCCCAACCCAAAGATTTTCTCCTGTTTTTTTCTAAAAGATTTAGTCTTGGTTTTTTTTTTTTCTTCTGTTTTTTCATTTTTTGGCCATACCGCGAGGCATGTGGGATCTCAGTTCCCCAACCGAGGATCGAACCCGTGTCCCTTGCATTGGAAGGTCGGAGTCTTAACCACTGGACCTCCAGGGAAGTCCCTAGTCTTGTGTTTTATAATTTAAGTCCATGATCCATCATGAGTTAACTTTTGTATAAAATGTGAGATAAGTCAAAGTTGGTTGTTTTTGTTTTTGCCTATGAATATCCATGCTCCAGCACCATTTTTTGAAAATGTTATCTTTCCTCCATTGAATTGCTTTTGCACCTTTGTCAAATATTGGTTGGGCATATCCATGTGGTTTTATTTCTGGATTCTGTTTCATTGAGCTATGCGCTCCCACCTTATTTTTCTTTTTCAAAATTGTTTTTGCTATTCTATTTCCTTTGCCTTTTCATATAAATTTTAGAACAATCTTGACTTTTTCTATAAAAATCTGACTGGGATTTTGATAGAAATTGTGCTAAACTTGTATATCAATTTAGGGAAAGTCAACATCTTTACTTTTTTGAGTCTTTCAATCCCTGACATAGTGTGGGTCTCCATTTATTTAGATCTTTGATTTCTTTCATCAGTATTGTATCATTTCCAATGTACAAATCCTGTATAATTTGTTGTATTTATACCTAAGTAACTCATTCTTTTGAGCAATTGTAAATGGTATTATTTTAGATTTTGATATCCACAAGTTCATTGCTAGGATATAGAAATACACTGACTTGTGCATGTTATCTTGTATTCTGTGTCCTGCTGAACTCACTTATTAGTTCTAGGAGTGCTCTGTGGACTCCTTGGGATTTTCTATGTAGTCAATCATGTAATCTGCAAATAGGGATAGTTTTATTTCTTCTTTTACAACCTGTATGACTTTTATTTCCTTTTCTTGCTTTATTGCACTATGGTGAGTCAGTGGTGACAGTGGACATTCTTGCCCTGCTCCCATCTTAGGGAGAAGGCATTCAGTCTTTCACCAGGAAATATGTTAGCTGCATGGTTTTCATAGATGCTGTTTATCAAGTTTAGGAAGTTTCCATCTATGCCTATTTTTCTGAGAGTGTTTATCACTAATGAGTGTTAAATTTTGCTTTTTCTGCAGTAATAGATTCATGTGATTTTTCTTCTTTGGCTTTCAGTTTGGTGGATTACATTAACTGATTTTTAGCAATGACCCATCTTTGCAGCCCTGGAACAAATTCACTTTTTCATGGCTTACAACTCTTTTCATATATTGCTGAATTCTACTGGCTAATATTTTAAGAATTTTGGCACCTATATTCATGAGGGCTATTGGTCTGCAGTCCTCTGTTTTGTATGGTCTTTGTCTGGTTTTGGAATCAGCTAATACTAGCTTCATAAAGTAAATTGGAAGGAGTTACTGCTGGGTACGGATGGGAGTTCCGGCTTCCCACTGGGTCTTCACCAATACCTCCCTGGCTGTGAGGGGTCGGAGTGCCTCACTACTGCTCTCCACTGTATGGGGGTGTGTGGTCTCATTATTGCTGAGAGGTGGAGGAAGTCCTAGCTCTCCGTCTCTACTAGGTGTTCTCTGACAATCCTCCACCCCATTCCACCCCACCCCAAGCAGGCAGGGTTCCTTATTACTACTGGGTGAGAATGTAAGTCCTGGCCCCTACTTAGCTTTCTCTGACACTACCCCTGGTGGGGGCATTGGTCACAAGTAAGCAGAGTGGTATGGTCACTACACCCAAAACTAGTTAAATGACTTTATGTAAAATCAATCACTGTTTTACCATAACCCCAGGATTTGCTGTACAAAAAGAACAAGGTGTCCCTGGCAGAACTGTCCTTGTTCCCTGCCATCCTTTTGCACTATTTGATATTTTAAAAAGTAACAAAAAGGTCACAGCAAGAAAAAAAATTATTTCAAACTGATTTGTTGCCAGATTTTCTCTAACCCACCTCCCCATATTCAAATATATCCACTCAAACTTGACTATCTCTGGGTGTATTATACCAGGCGCTACTGCTCATACCCAGCTATCAATGGCATATTTCTACTTCTCCAGAGAGCACAAGGCTCCATCCCTCCACACCCAATCCCCAAGAGGCAGAACCCTGATAAGGTGAGGGCCAAGAACACTGCTGGGGAGCTCCAGCTGACACAGGAGTGCCCTCATGGACACCACTTGGTTTCTCAGCCTTTCCCTTTGGCCACTGCTGGGACTGCCTCATCCTGCTCTTATTTCTTCTCTCACTTTGCAGCTCCTGCAGATGCTACGGGATCCCTGGCTTGGGGCTACTTCTCAGGTCAGAGGGCCCTTGGGGCTAGGAAGGCCTTAGCACCTCAATTCTTTAACTTTAGTTAACAAGCACCTGGGAAGCTTGTTAAAATGCAGGCTCCCAAGTCCCTGATTGACATTCTGATTCAGTAGGATGGGGTGGCCCCTGGAAATCTGCATGTTAAACCAACACCTGATTCCAGTACAGGCAGTACTGGGAAAGGCCTGGTTGATGTAGGTCCAGAGCAGCTGTTCTTGGGTTCTCCTCCCTGATTGTTTACTAGAATCACTTGGTAAAACGATCATGATTATGTGCTTACGTTATTAAAAAGAGATCTTACCATTTAGCAATAGATACCTAAACACCAACATCATGTCCAGGATTTGCTTTGAAACAATCCAGTAGAGGGAGGGGGAGGAAAGTGGGTGGGAACACAGATGAAACAAGACTGGTCATGAGCTGATAACTGTTGAAGCCCAGGTACACCAGGGATCAATTTACTACTTTCTACTTTTGTATGCGATTGAAATTCTTCCCAAATAGTTGAAGAAGAATTAAGGAACCAAGGAAGCTTTTTAAACTATTCCCATGGTTGGCCTCACCCCTAATGAATGAAATCCGAGTCCCCAGGGGTGGGGCACGGGGATTTTTTTTCCCCACTGCGCTCTAGGTGATTCTAACTTGCAACCAGAGTTTGTAACTGCTGCCTTAGGAAAAGAGAAAAAGGACTTTTTCCCCATGGGGTTTCCTTTTCAAGCCACTTGACTGCCAAGTCCTAATACCTCTGGGGACAAAATCAGCTCTAGACCACAGCCCAGCCAAGGCAGACACTACTGTTTGCTGCTAATATCTATTCTTCTCATCTGTCTCAATACCAAAATGTTGTCTGGGGTACCAATGTGCCCAATTCTTTCCAGACTATCGCCTACCCAGCAATCATGTGACCTACCCCTGGTCCATAAGGTGCGAACAGAAGTCTGCAATGATTGCCGGGAGAGTTTTGCTCTCCTGATGCGGGGGCAGCTCCTCCCTCCTTCCATGTTGCTTTGCTTCTTCCTGCCTGGACTGAGGCTGGAGGTGGAGGAACATCGCGGCAGCCGAGGTGAGGGCCACCATCAGGATGACAGAGCAGAAGGAGACAAGAAGCCTGGGTCCACTGATACCTCTCCAGCCCTGGCCTTCTGGAAGTCTTTGCCCTTCTAATTGCGATGCAGTCCTGATACATTGGCTTATCAAGGCTAAGAATGCCCCTGAGGGGTTAAGTCCGAATCCCATAATATAAAATAGTGAGCATTGCCCTGGAGGGTCACCTCTCCCCAGGAGGGTCTTGTGGTGGCAGCAAACGGCTGGTCACACAAACCACTTACTCTAATAGCTAGGCCAGTCTCACAGGTGGTACAAGTTAAACTCAGGGTAGTCAGTAAACTTGCTGAGGGGTGAATCCCAAAGAGGTGGCCTCCAGATTCAGAGGACGAGAGCTTGCTGATTTCCATCCTAACCTAGAAGAGCAATCAGATGGGGTGGAGAGGTTGCAATCCAGCATTTCCCCACAGGCCTGTGGAAGAACCAGCTGGTCGCCGGAGCACTGGCATCCAGGAACTCACCGGGCCACATTCGAGACACCACCCTGTGCTGGCCAAGGCATTAATGCTGGCTTTTCTTCCCTCCTTCCAGTCTATGTCTCTATCCCTTTTGTTCCTTCCGTCACAAATCAGCAACAATAACCAGTTACCCAGCTTTCTGCTGAGAGGAGTCAGGAGTCAGCTTGACAGCCTGAATCTAACAAGATGGGTTTAGGAAGGACAAATGTGGATGACGCAAGGGCAGCGGGGGAGGAAGGAGGTCTCACACAGCAGCACCTGTGAAAAAAAATTAGTCTGATCAACTACGAATCACAAGTGATGTGGCCGCCACAAGAAGCTATGTGAGCCTAGGCTGGACAGGAATAGGGAGGCAAGGGCCACTCTCCATTCTGCCCAGGTCAGGCTGCCCTGGAGTATTACACGCCATGCCTGGGCAGGCAGAGCTGAGCACTGGGGCTGAGCCAACTGGTGTGTGTAACCAGAATCCGGGAAGTAGTGTCCTGGGCGGAGCCAGAGCCTTGAGAAATCCAAAATCTGAGGGCTGTATAGAGCCAGGAAGCAGAGCAGGTTGTCAGGGCAGGGACCGCATCCGGCCATTTCTGGGGAGGTTTCATCTGGACAGGTGCTGTGTACCGGGTGACTGCTGCTCTGAGCCATGTAGGGGAGGGGAGGGGAGGGGGGTGTTCTGTTTGGGGCACCACATCTCAAGAAAGAGCTCAGGCCAAATGGGCATCATACAGGTGGGAAACCTGGATGCCGAGTGGGAAAACCATGGGAGATGAGCAATGAAAAAACATGCAGATGCAATAAGAGAAGTCAGGGGTATTAGGATGGCACAGTATCCCCAGGGATAAGAGATTAACTTGTTCAGTATGAATACAGAAGGCAGACCCAAGAACAGGGGGTGGCATTTACAGAGGAAAGATTTGTGCCCAGTATGAAGAAGGACTTTATAATAGCACTGTCCAAAGACAGGTCTGCTGTGAAAGGTACTGACTACCTCATGGCTGGAGATATTCAAATAGAGGCTGTAAGGTCACTTGTTAAGGATGGGATCAAAGGATCACCCACAGGTGGGGACTGGAGCATGAGGCCCCTTCCAACTGAGATTCAAGCAAAATGATCGGGCCACCCAAAGACCTCCTGTCTGATCCAGGCACAGTGATCACCCACCATTCCTTCCACCTCACACATCTGGGTCTCCCTCCCTGACCTCTGCCGACAACTTTTCCTGGAGGACAGCTAATGCACTCTGACTCAGCTCTGCCCCTGACCACCCTGTGCCCAACCCCTGAGCCTAACCAGGTGATTTCTACAATCCTTCCAGAAGACTCAGAGTCTTCTGGGATAGCCTTTCTTTCCCTTCAAATGAGCCAGAAGCTTGACTAATGCCTTACTTCCCTTTAATTTTTTAAAATAATAAAGCATTGAATATTTCATGTGATTTATTGAATACTGTACTAAAGTGAAAAAAAGAATGTTTGTATGGGTACAGAATGGTTGTATCACTCCCTTTAATTTGAGGATAAAATCTTTGTAAAAGTATTTAAACTTCCTTTGGGATTATTTTCTCCTCCATAAAAAAAATCTCCAGAAATCTCTGAAAGCCATTTTTGAGACAGATTTTATCATTTCTGTGAGTCATTCTCTGAAAAAAATTACAGCAAATCTTCTTTCAAAAGCCCTTTAACAGAATCAAGCTCCATTCCCTCTTTGATGGGATATCAACTCTTCTTATATGATGTCCTCCAGCAGTTGAAGCCTCACCTCCAACCAAGCTTCTGTATCCTATGGAAATGCTTTTAAGCAAAGGCTGCTAAAAACCTCAATGCATGTTCTTCTAGATATATTTATTGGCACAGAAAATAACCATCAATTTTCTAGCTGCTGGGTCTTTGAATTTAACCTGCCACTTGATTTCACTCCTCTCAAATATAAAAGAAAGGGCATTATGTTTTCCCTTGCTCTAGCTGCAAAAGAAGAAAATGAGGTAGCAGAGCACACTAAATTCCCTTGGAAAAGGCAATTTCCAGAAGCTCTCAAAGAAGAAGAGCTGCTTGTTTACTTTGTACTTAATGCTTTCTCTAAATCACCCAGTTCAGTGAAGTCTCACGACATTTTAGTTAACTATAATTTCATGTGCGAGATTTTAAAAGAGCCATTAACCAGGTGATTAAAGTAATGAGATCTGTGCCTCCTGATGTGAGGCACTAAGAAGGGCACCACCTCACCTGAGTGAGTTTCTTCCAAACACACAAACCTGAATCTAAACATGAGGACATCCCACAGCCCACACTGAGAGACATTCTTCCAAGGTGTTAAGGTCATGAACAACAGGACTGAGGAACTGCCCCTGACAGGAAGACAGTAAGGAGACATGACAACTAAATGTACTGGGAACCCTGGTTTGGATCCTGAACCAGGAAAATGTCCATTCGTGGGCCATCTGGTGAAACTTGAATCAAGTCTGCAGATTAGTTAATAGTATTATATCAGTGGTAATTTCCTGGTTTGGATAACTGCACTATGGTTTTGTAAGATGTTAACACTTGGGGAAGTTAGGCGAAGGGGTTATGGGAAACTTTTGTACTATTTTTACAACTTTTGTATAAGTGTAGAGTTACTTCAAAATAAAAAGTTTAAAACAAAAATCTGATGAAAGATATTCTTCGGTGCCTTGTGTGACATGGGAAGGTCTCTGTCTTCCGACAACACCTCTGAGTGTCCTTTGCTGGTGGACAGCGGGTATTGAGGGACACCTTTGAGAGTCAAGCCTTATTATGTGTGAAGAGCTCTGCTTTGCCCAGAAAGTGTAACCCTCAAGGTCACCTCCACCCTTCATTTTCTTACCTTGCTCCAGTTACTCTATCAGAGAAATTCAGGGTTTTCATCGGGAGCTGTGACAGGGGTCTGGAGAAGCGGGCAGTCAGCACAGTGGCCACGAGAGGCAGAATGGCCAGGCTCCTCCGGGTGGGTTCTGAAACACAAAATGCGTCCTCAGCATTGTGTTGCTGCCTTCAGGAGTTTAGGCAGAAGGGGCCATTTTCCTTCCAGGTTGTGAAAGTTAAAGTGGGCTCTGTTTGACCCAGGTTCAGTCAAGGCACCAGGCAGTCCCCGCCTGCCACCCTCCTCTCAAGCTACAGCCTCATGTGATGAAAAGAGTCAGGAGGCTGGGACATCTAGAAACCTGGGTTCTGGTTCCAGCTGTGCCACCAACTCATAGGGTAACCCTGGGTGAGTCATCACGCTTTTGTAGCAATGAGGAGGGTGTAGCACCAGTGACCAGTGACCCTCAAACTAGGCTGTGCAGCAACCACTGGGGCGCCCAGGGTCCCAGCCCCTCAGGGATTCCAGCTCCATGAGTCCCATTCTCAGTGTTCCCCATATCCAGCAAAACATCCATCTCAATTTGCCCACATGCCTCCAGGCAGCTTTTTCAGCCCTGGGCCAGGTATCTTTTGATTCAGCTCTCCACCTTTCTCCACCCCACCATGCACAGGGTCCAGCTCTGGGGCTGAATTCATCAGTAACTCATCATGGCATGGAGACTGAAGCTACAAAATGAGACACACTCTAATCAACCTAAATTAAAACACACACACACACACACTGTCTCTCCCACCACCCTACCACTCCCTTTCCACATTAAATCAAACTTGTTGCAGCAAGGCTACTCAGCAGTGACTAGCTTCGCATTATGAGTTGTAGACGGGTGTGTGCATTAGTTGTCCTCCTGTTCTGGTTAATTCCCCTCTAGTGATCCCTCCTGGCCTAAGGGAAGGAAAGGGAGGTAGGGAGGGAGCTGAGCAAGGCAATCCCAGCCCTGGGAGCTGTTGCTCTTTTCCTGGGGCGCAGTCCTAGTCTCTCTTTGCACACCTGCCTGTGGTTTGTTATACTGCCCTTAACAGTAACAAGGTTCTGCCTGAGAGGCAGCTCCTCCCCTGCCATTTTGCTGCGGTCCCTAATCTGATCACCAGTCACCTGCGCCAGTGAGTCTGTGATAAGTTCACTAACTAGCCAACAACCACAGTATTTACTGCAGAAGGTAGGTGGCAGTGTTTCATCTGTTTAATCTTCAGGAGAGGAAAACAAATAGGGCTCTTTTGTCTTGCGTGATCCTTCCTGGACTGTGCAGTAGGCTCTTGCTCCCGCTCCGGCCCCGACTCGCCACGCTCCAGTCTCACCACTGCAGCCAGAAAGGTCTTTCCAACACCAGTCAGGTACGTACGTGACTCCCTTGACTAAAAGCCTCCTCTCCATGCCTTTTTGGAGCTGGCCTCTGCCTCCCTTCCTATCCGGTACCCCCTCCCCTGTGCTCACTGCTCTGTAGCCATGCTGACCTTCTGAACATACACGGAGCTCTTTCTCGCCTCAGGGCCGTGGACCTTGCCTTTCCTCTCTATAGAGGGCTGAGTCCTTCGGACCCTTCTGACTTCAGAGAGGCTGCCCAACCCACCATGCAACACACAGGGGTTGCTCTCCATAAGATTGCCCTTCAATCCAAGATTCCCTTGTTTCTTTACTTATCTCCCCCTTCTAGATCATAAGCTCAGTGAGGCCAGGCACCTTGTCCATCTTAGTCACCACTGAATCCCCCATGCCTGGAAGAACCTGACACAAAGGAGGCACTCAGTGAGTCCCTGCTGAGTGGGCGTGAGCTGTGTGCTCGAACCTCACCCCCATCCCCACACAAAGACTGGCCCTTCATGGAAGGCACAGGCCCATGCTGTGGGTGCCCTGCACCCCTCCCAAGTACTGACCGGCTGGCTGAGCACAGACATCTCTGCTTCCTCCCTCCAGGACTGGAGTCTGAGGTCACCACCACTGGGTGATTTAAAATCCAGTCGTCTGTAATTCAAGCGCTTTCCATCCCTTCTGCTCAATGTCTGTGGCACAGAATGCCTCAGTGTTTGCCTCAATGTCTCTCCAAACAGAGAGCTGCTTTTAATTTTATTTTCCTTTGAGTCAGCAATATCTAAAAGCACTGGCGTCAAAATAGCTTAAATTGCATGAAAAGTCAGCCCCTTTAATAATGCACTATTCACAATGTAATCTCTCATATACAAAATGCTAGAATTTTAGATATCTTTTTCTTCTACTACTTTTTTACATTCCTTAAATATGTTGCTATTTTCACCCCAAACACAATGCTATAGGCAGTGGAATTCCTGTACTCTTCAGGGCTGTTTGTCATCTTAATGTCTTGTGCTGGGCTTTAGTCTCTGTAAACATTAGTTTCTCAAACTTGAAATGCCACTCGGTTGCCTTTTGGTTTGGAAACAGAAATGGCCGTGGGAGGCAGGCGCTGCAAGGGGACAGGCAGAGCCCCTGTGAGGGCGGGAACCACCTCTTTAGCTTTGGATTCAATTAGCTGCTCCAGGGTGACCAAATTTATATGATACTGTCGCAAAATCAAGATGTTCATGTATTATTCTGGAATCTGGGAGAAACTTTTCTAATTCTAAGAACACTTAGGTCTGCTCTCAAGGGCACCTCCTTTCCATTGTCAATGCAAAACCCACATGTAGCCCACGGAAAGCACCCCTTCTCCAAAAGAAAAAAAAAAACCTGTGTGCATCCTTGTCTTGATGCTGGGCTCACTTGCTGCATTCTGACAGGACTATCTTGCAGAAGACACAGCTGGCTGCATTCCTGTGGGTCAGGGTCAAGGTCTCCCCAGCAAGTGGCAAACACTCCCAGTACTGACATCCTCAGAAGAGGCAGGGCATCAGCAGCAAATAGGAATTCAGGAGGCAGGACTTAGGCAGGAAAGAGAATTCAAGTTTCTGGACATGAAGTCTGGAAGGGGCTTGGTACTACCAAGTGGGAGAGGGAGGTCCTGTTTCACTGGGGAGGGTGAGCTGGGTTTAAGCTAAGAACCATCCTGTGTAGGGACGCCACACTGAGGCGCTCAAAGCCCGTAACCTGTGTGAGAGACTCCAAGGTCTGACAACTGGCAGCCAGTTTCCAACATACTCTACTTGGCTATTTTGTTTGGCCTGCCTAGTGTTTTAAAAGGCAACGTAACGAGGCAGCTATGTTATGCTTGAACTCAATAGCAAAAAGTTGTCACTTACTATCTCAAGCCTACCCACCACCTCTGTTAACTGCCTGGACATTGTGGGCATTAGAGTTTGAGATCTCTTACCAAATAGATGTCTGTTATCCTTTGGCTATTTCCCTTCTGATCACTTAGCATAATCTTGCCTAGACGTTCCAGCTCAGCTCAGCTCAGCTATACGTGTTAACTACAGTTATTGGAGGCTTCCTTGAGGCCATGCAAAAAGGAAACCTGACAAGTTTTAAATCCTTATTCAAATAAGATGCCTATTATCCCTTAGAGAGATTAACTATTCTGAAATGAAAGTCTAAAGACATTATACAGGAACACCAAATGATATTGTAGGTGACGTTCCCACTACCATTTTATCGTAAATGCAGAAGTGGCTTTTATATAGCTGCCTCTAACAGGGACCCTCAATAAAAGCCAAGGATTTAACTTTATAGCCCAGTTCAGCGAAGGCAAACCTAATGTAGACACTTGGATTAGTCTGACAGACACTAGCCACCAGACTAGACTTAGGTGATGGCCATTTCTCTTCAGAGAACACACCACACTCAGCAGTTGCCATCTTTCGGGTGTCGGTCTTGCTCAGCTGATCCCTGTCCCTTTCAGACTTGCCTATTGCCCACAGAATTTGGCCTCTGCAGCTGTAGCTGTACAGTGAGACCCTCCCCCCCACCCTCTGGCCATGGAAGAGTGGGTCAGGGAGAGACACCTGACCCCAGATGAATCCATCATTCTGTCCCCTGGCACTGTGAAAGAATGCAAAGCAGCCTCTGTGGGGCAGAGACATGTGATCTGGTTGCTGGAGTTGGGGGGAGGGGGGTGGGCAGCTATGCGACACTTGAGCCTGAAGCCAGAGAGAGAGATGGAGAAAGCCAATCTGCAAAGACAGAAAGGAGTCAGGCACACATGTAGAAAGAAGCAGAGATGGAAGTGAAGAAGACAGAAAAAAACAACAACAGAGCCTCCTGCTCCTGAGACCCAGCTGCCCTCCTGTCTTCAGCTCTGTAAGGCATGTGATGTCTTTATTCTCTGTGTTGATTTAAGCATGTTTAATGTTTCTGTTAGTTGCAGCCAAAACAATATTGGTGAAAACACACTGAAAGCAGGTTCTTTCTGCAGATCATTATCATTAATTCTTAAGCTTGCCTGATATTCTGAGAATGCCACACTGTAGACCTCATAATGATAAGAGGAACAGGAGCCTCTCCCTCTCCACTTCTGTCAAGGAAACATCTGTCCTTCCCCAAGAGAAAATGTTACCAGAGCTATCAAAATGGCCATAATTACAACCACCAGGTTAAGCAGGCATTCCATCCCTAGGAGAACAGGGCTTGCCTACCAAATTCAAGTCAGACCTGTACACAGGAGGCACATAATATTTGAATGACTTAAGAGAGTTTTCAGCAGAGGAATACCATATCAGGCTTATATTTTAAAATGATAATTCTCACTGGGTTAAGATTAGACTGAGGATGGACAAGGGCAGAAGCAGGGAGACCATTTAGAAGCTATGGCAGTAACCCAGGACCATAATGTACAGCCATGCAGGTTGTGCACAGCAGAACTCGAGCAAAATGTGAAGAGGTACTCCCTGGACATATATAAAAGGGCTGCCAGTCCCGGTGGAAACCATGGAGCTAATTAGATGTGGTCAGAGTCTGGCTGTGTTTTGAAGGTAAAGCCCACTGTGATATACTGACCAATTAAATGTAGGCTATGAAAGAAGGAAGAATCAAAGATATTTCCAACATTTTTCGTGCAGATGTAAAAAAAGTGACATTAGTACAACTGACAGTTTAAGGAGCCACCCTATTCATAAGCACTTACCACATTTCAAATCAGAGCGTACAAGCCCAGCATCCTGGTCCTCAGCGGGCCCCTCCAAGTCGTATCTCCAACTGTACTTCTCTCATCTACTCATTATACCATTTGCCACCATCTCTCAATAAGCCCTGTACTTTCCAATTTTTGTGCCTTGCTCATCCCATACCAAATCTGAGGTCTCCTTCATCCACTAAGCCCTAACTGATTCAAATAACCTCCTTCAAGAAAGCTTTCCTGATCCCCTAAATCAAAAATCAATCTCTTGTTGCGGGACTTCCCTAGCAGGTCAGTGGTTAAGACGCCGCGCTCCATATTTGCATTTTCACTGCTTCCTTATGTGCCTCTGAAATAGCACTTAACCTAGGCCGGGTAGTATTAGAGGTATTTCTGCTTATAACCATTCACAGCACCCCGCTCCGCCATCTGACCACCAGTCTCAACCTGGATTGTTTCATTGACCTCCGGCTCATCCAAAATGACTACTCTGGTGTCTGACAGGAAGCAGCCACTCTGTAAATGTGTATTGAGAGACTATGCGAGCTACACTCATTTCAAAGTTCAGCTTCCTCGCCCGCCACGGGTATATGCCCTGGGCACGGCCGGGCTGCAACGCTCTGGTAGAAAGTGCTAGGATATTTGATGCGTCATAAAGGATCCTGGCAGCCGGAAGCCCACCGTAACGAAACGTGTGCCTCTGTAACCCCTGGCAGGGTTAGACAGGGACTTTGTATCAGACGACTCTGGGCAGATTTTGGCAGACTGGTTGGAAAACACCTCGCAGAGCTCAAATGAGCTCAACGTCCCGCGCGGCTCCAAACCCTCCCCCAGCAGGGCGCAGACCGCCCGGGTCCCTGTCTCTGACAGGAACGCCCTGTCAGAGACGGGGGACGCCAGAGACTCGCCGGCGCCAACTCGCCAAGCGCGCCGGCAGCCCCGCGTCCGGGCCAATCGCAGGGCCGCAGCCCCTTCCGGCTGACCAGAGGCTGGGAGCCGAGGGGGCTCGGCCCGAGCCACGCTCCCATTGGCTGAGACCGCACCGCCCAGACCAAGTTGAGCTGTTCCCGCACCTGTGAGCGGCAGAGGCTCCGGGCCTTCCCCGGCCGCGGGCCCACCACCAACCCAGCATCTCCGGCCTGCTCCCGCGGAGCCTCCAACTTGCTCGGTCCTCCTCCTCCCCCGGTCCTCCTCCTCCCCCGGTCCTGCGGCCTCTGCGGTCCTCCAGTTAACAGCCGGCTCAGCTCGTGCTCAAGGAAACTGGACAGGCGGCCTGACTAATGTCCAGCATCCTTCCCGAGGGCGCAGCATGAGGGGAGGAAGCACTCCCCCTCCCCCCCAACCAAGTCCCCGAAAACAGAGCCTCGTGGAGGACGCGGCAGGAGGACGAGGGATGCGGGAACACCCAGAGAGATGCGGTGAGTAAGGGAGCAGTGCCTAGATCTCAGGCTAGAAGGCAGGGCTACTGGCTTCGGTCCTGGCTCGGCCTCTGACTACGATGTGACCTTGGGCCGGTTTCTTCCTTTCTCGGGGCTGGGCTCGTCTTCTGTAAAATGCGGCGGCAGAGAAGGATAAGTGTCGAGGGTTTCACCTGGGAGACTCGGGGCCGCGTGTTCAACCTAGGCCTCCCCCTGACAAGCACATTTTCTGAATAACAAACGTCAGGCTGGGCTCCCAGAGCACGGACGGAAGGCCCGGGAGGGCGGAGGATAAGGATCACCTGGGGTTGAGAAGGCTCTGGGCGGGATCAGTCCATCTTTACACCGTTACTTCGGCCGCGGCCGCAGGGCCCAGCCTACAGGACTTGGTGCCCGCTTTTCCACTCGCATCCCCGCGACCCAAGTAAAGGGCAGCGCAAGTCCAAACCAAACCGAGCATCACGCCGGTTTAGGGGCGCCGGCTCATCACGCCCGAGCTTCAGAGATGCGGACCCCTCCTCTTACCCCAAACCAAACTGGCGCGAGGGCTCCAGCTGCTGAGGGCTCAGCTGGTGCGTTCGCAGGTACCCGCGCTCGCCTCTTGTACCACCGGGCGCTACCGCCGTTTGCTTCTCAAAGCGCCTTACTGGCTCCCATTCCTGCGGCCTCCAGCCTCAGCTGCCGGGGTGCGCCTGCGCACAAGGGCTTTGCTCCGTAGGGCTGCGCAGGGCGGAGCCCGACGGCGGGCGCGCAGGGGCGGGGAGTCTCTGCGCCGCCTCCTTCACCTTGCGGCGTCAGGCCTGGCCCTCCTCCCGCGGAGGGTATTCCTATTCGCTAGGCTCCCGGCCCGGGATTAACCTACTGCCGCCCATTTTAGGTCTAAACCGCGCTCTGATCTCCTCCACCGCCATCCTGGTTCTGGAACGAGCGGGGAACGATATCACCCCGCGGGTTGCGGGTAGGGAGGTGGAGGTGCCGCTCCAGGAAGTGAGAAAACCTGGTGAGGTTGAGGCGCCTTTCCAGGTCCTACGCCTACTTGCTGTCTTTGGAGCTTATTGGGGTGGGTTGGTTTGTTGGTTTGTTTTTAAATTTGTCTTTTGGTCAGATGAAATTTATTTAAAATTTTCTTCCTACGATTTTAAAAAATAATTTAAGAATAGCACAGCTTCCCAGAGTTTCAACAACGGAACATCGGAGGCCAATCTGTCACGGATCAGGCTCCCCTGCCGAGTTTCCAGGATGAGAAACCCGCTGAGGAGAAGGAACCTATCAGGGCAAATTAGTGGCAGAGCTATGTTTAGGTCAAATTATAGAGAAGGGCTGATTTGAAAGGGACCAGGCAGATGAAAACAGGAAGGAAGGAAAGGCCTGGTGGGGCTTTAAAGAAACCTGTCAGCTCCGTTACGTGAACTTCTTGAGGGCTAAGGCTGTATCTTCCTTATCTCTGGCTCCTGGCATGTAGAGCTTTGAAGACCAGGAGAATCATGAAGGTAGGATGCACTTGGTTCTCTGTACCCATTTCACAGACCGACTCAAGCTTGCATCAGCGCTGTGTTTCAGAATAGTCACTGTTACAGCATGCCATAGCCATAACATAAATCCTTATATTGGGTCACCAGGTTACACTTTGAGGGTTATGCATTGCTAGAAAAGCAGTTAACTAAAGGAAGAGTTAATATTTCCACTAGGAAAACCATAGATCCTGACTTTGGACTGAGAATTAATGGAAATAAAGTTCTATTCATGAAAGACAAGGACAGGACAGTTGATCTGTCTACGGTTATATCTGACTCCACCTGTGGCTGACCTCACACCTTCCCAGCCCCACTTTTTATTCCAGTTTTGCTCTGGCAACTAGCTGCATACAGGTGAAACCTGAGAGCACCTTGCCTCAGCTGTACCTGGTATCTTCCCCACTCGGGGCTTTTCTGTCACTGCAGCCTGGGCCCCCTACAGGAAGCCGAAGCCCATTTTGACACATGCATAAATTTGGAAGTGCAAAGGAATTAACACGTCCTAGGACAACGTTTGACCAAGGCAGACAGGAGCTGGTGGAGAACTATGCCACTCTTTTCGTTCTTCCAGTGGGCAGTTCCAAGGTACGTTTTGTACAGCACCTAAGATGATAGACCCCTGGCTGCCCACAGTAGTGCCCAACTTGATCAGCTCAATAATGCACCCTTGGATCGCCTTTCTCTTTCCTGCCTTGACTGTTTGACTCTTCCAACTCCTCCACTCCTGTTCCTCGGGATTCGTTCCCAAAATAAACTACCTGTATCATGAAGGTAGGATGCACTCTGAACAAGTTCTTGTTCAGAGTTTGTTTTGGGGTGCGGGGGAAACCCAGACTAAGCCAATGGTTAATCCAAAAGAGTCATCTCAACAGGGAACTATATTCAATATTCTGTGATAAACCATAATGGAAAAGAATATGAAAAAGAATGTATATATATGTACAACTGAATCACTTCGCTAAACAGTAGAAATTAACAACATTGTAAATCAACTATACTTGAATAAAATAAATTTAAAAACACACACACACAAAGAAGACCCAAAAAACCCCAAAGAGGCATCTCAGCCCAACTTTCGGGGTCATTCTCAGCAGACCTTTCCCAAGTCTGCTAATGAGGAATCCATTTGTTCTGTTTGAGCCGTTGCTCTTTTTATTGCCCTGCTGCCCTGCCCTTTAGGGCATCATTAATAAACTCTCAGAGGCAGGCAGGAAGTATCAGAGACTCCCAGGAGACAGGGCCAGCTGAAGGGCTGGGTCTAGGTTAGCATTGGACAAAGCCATTCTTGGCCTTACCTTAACCATTTTCCCTCCTTCCAAGGTAGGTCCTGTTTGCTGACCTTGAAACGAGAAACTTTCAGCTCTGGGGTTGAATATGGAAGCAGAGACAGGGTGGGAACCGGGTCACTCCCAACACAGCATGTGCCCAGAATACGTCTCTTTTTTGCCCTCCCTTTCCCCCTTGCCCTCGCTGTAAAAGCAGTTCCTCTGTCCAGATACAAGGTCTCAGGCCAGGGTCTTTGGCACCTAGCACACTTCATCTCATTTCAATACTAAGAGGATGCTGTTGCAAATTACTAAGCTAGGTTTGGGAGGAAAGAGCCCTTTGTCCCAGCCTTCAAGAAGGGAAATGAGACATGTACATAAGCTAAGTGAATCCTTAGAAGCCCTGTAAGTCTTCTAAAAGAGGGACTTGTAAGTGTAGTGGGAGTTCTGGTGAGGCTTCAGGACAGGATCCGTAGAAAGGTAGCATCCTGAAAGACTCAGAATGAAGTCCCCTCAAAAGATCCCCCTCCTAATGGATTACTCGTTAGCAAACTTGGGAAAGGTTTGCTGAGAAGGACCTTGAAATGTGGGCTGAGATGCCTCTTTTGGATTAACCATTGGCTTAGTCTGGATTCCCCCTTGAAACAGACCCCTGTCCAGAGAGCCACAGTGTTTGCTCCTGTCCCTCTATCAGCTCCTAATTGCCTCCTAGCTCACACCCTTCTTGAATCCCAGTTCAGACTAATCATTCATCTTACTAGGCCCCAGCCCTCCCCTGCTAGATCTGGCCCTGCCCCATCTCTGAATACCCCTGCTATTCTCTGTCTTCAGTGTTGTGTCCAACACCAGATGGTGCAAGTTAAATCCTGCCCTTAGCCAGCCACGTGGGAACCCTCCAGGAGCCCACGAGTGCAGTGCTCTGTGCTGAGTTCTACTGGGGAGTAGAGAATCACAACACCATTTACCATCCCAAACACTACAGGTCTTCCGTTTGTTTAATGCAACTGAATTTTCTTTTAAAAAAAAATTTTTTTTTTTTTTTTGGCTAGAAATCATGTCCTTAATCTGCAGAATTTTAGAATTGTCAAGTAGCTTTTTTTATAATTTACAGTGAAGGAACGAAAAAGCCCCAATGTACTATTCTAAACAAACTGTGATGCTCAGAATCTTGTGTACTGAAGAGCCCTGTATCCTAACGTGACTATAACACTGAATTTTGCCCATGGATGAGAAGTGGAGGCCCAACCTTCTCCCTGCAGTGATTGAGCAAGTAGAACAAGGCCTGGACCTTATGGGGAAAAAAAGGGGTGTATCGGACACCCACATCCCCACTCCCTTTCTGTTTCTCGACTCTAATGTATTTAACTAAAATGATTGTTTGTTTAAGCCACAGAGTTGTGGGTTTTTTTCTTTTTGTGTGTGTATTGCAGAGGGGGGAGTAGTTTGGAAATTTAACCAAAGTTATTTTGAGGTAATTGGGACCTTTGAAGAGGGAAAAGTACGAGGAAATTAAAAAAACAAATGTGTCCCCACCTCTGCCCATCCGCCCCAAGCTACAGCACTGCATGAAACCCCTTCCTTCATGCAGCTTAGCTTGATCAAGCCCTTAGATGCCAGGCATGGTGCTTTGTGTTGAGGATGCAGTGATAACCCAGTGCGGGGTCTCTGTCTTCAAGTAATACAATTCAGCAGCTTATGACTGATCGCTGCGTACCAAACACTATGCCAAGTGCTTTGTGTGCATTTTTTAATGCACTTAATCTCTGCAGCAGTCCTAAAAGTGACCTAAGATTATCCCCATTTTCCATCTGAGGAAGTTGAGGCCCAGAGAAGTCAAATAATTGCTCACAGCAACACAGCTAGGAAGTGGCAGAGACAGAGTGCACACAAGTCTGTCCCACTCCAAAGACTTTCTTTTAGCACACCACCAACTGTTCTAAGGTTCTTGCTTTGACAAAACGGATAAAAACCCCAGTTTATGAGGCTATGTGGAGTACAGAAATTTTTATAACCAGTTGGGCATTGCTTTGTGAGTAATCCTAACAGAAGCTGGAATTGCTGTGTTACGTTGAAGTTCCTTTCAGTGAATACAGTACAGAAGCCAAGATCTGATGCACTCAACTAGGGAAAGAAATTGTAGGTCCTAATTGAACATATCAACTTTGAAAGACAAAAATATGGGACAAAATTCTCAACCCTTAAAGCTGATTTAATTTTCTGAACTTCAAATCTATTTTTTAAATAATAGTTAATATGTATAGTTAATATAAATGTTTTTAAAACCATATGCTTATTTTGATTAATATCTTTTCATTTTTTCCCCCAATGAATGTGTATTATTTATATTTTCTGCTTGTTGCTACCAGGGACAGAGCCTATTATTTCAAAAGGGAAATCAAATTACAAAGCTGCTGCTTCCCATTTTTGGGTTGCCAGTACCTCTTTCCAAAGGCCTATTTGTTGAGAAGGTTATACTTCAGATTCACTTTGCTAGTCTTATTTTCTTTTCAACACAAATGGCACAAGGATATTCTCTTGCTAGCAATTTCTCTAACAGTAAATTGCGAGACAAGACCAATATCTAATATCTAGAAATTAATGAACGCAGAACAATGTTTCTGTGTTGCTCACTAGAGGATTTCACTTTATAATTACCTTTGTTCTGAAATAAATTAATTTTA